AGGTTGTGTTGGCTCTGTCAGAGGAGAGCCAGGAAAGAGGGACAGGGAGCCTGGGCTTTCTGGCACGTGTTCATGTAGAGCAGCCAGGAGCAATTCAAACAAGCCTTGGATGTAGGACAGGAAGGGAATGCCAGGTTTTATTTGTGCTGATTTTTCTTTTTCTTGCTTTCCCAGATCTATGGGCTGTTCCCATCTGTTTCTAACACCTGGTATCCTCGTCAAGTGTCTGAAGATGATCATTCATGCCGGTTCCCAAATTCTGATGAGCCTGATGTGTTTACAGCATTCAGGGTAAAAATGGTTGATTTGGTGGGTTGGGATAACTCATGAATTGAGGGCAGTGTGGCCTCCTGACTTTAACAGTATCCTAGGAATGCTGTTCTAGGGAACAAGTCCACTTTAGGCACTTGTAACTCACTTGTTACTTGAATACGTGACTTGCAATTGTCACCCAAGAAGGAATTGTTGTGTGGTTACAGCACTTTGGTTGTGTGATTCAGGATGCCAAGGATGATTGGTTACTTTAATTGGGTTTCACAGAGTGTGTTTAATCTCCGTACCATGAGCAATTGCACTCTAGAGGCTGAGAAGCTGTAGAACCTAAATGACCATGTGTTTGAAAAAGAATAAATTTGGCTGACTGAGGCTAGATGAATTAGCTCAGGAGATCTTGTTTGCTCATTGCTGAGGATCTGAATAATTCCCTCTTAAAATGAAGCAAGAGAATGCTTTGCCAAGCTAGAGGACAGCCAAGTCCCCGCTGCGTGAGGGGACAAGGAGGCACACAAGGCTAGAGAGCAGAGAGGGGAGGACAAGCTTCTGCTGCATCAGTTCTTTTTTTGCCTACAGGAAATGGGGTTGAAAATTATGTCCAACACCAATATCAGGAAACCCAGAGTGTGTCCAACCACTCCATCGACAACTATGCTGCTGGAAACAGAGATATTCACCTCCAGGCCCATGTTGATGTTTGCCCAGCCCCATAAAGCATACAACAGTAAGTGCCAACTGGTTCTTCTTACATGGGTTGCTCAGTCTTTCAGGTGAAAGCGGTCCTGAGTGTTCCCTGGTGGGGTAGTGTGAGGCTGCCTGGGGCTCACAGCTTCTAGCTGGGAAATCGTAGCCAGCTGTCTGGATCCCAAGTTTTATCTCTAAGGCCAGGGAATGCTTGCCCTTCCCTTGGTGCCTCCAAATGCAAGTAAAGCCCACAGCACCTCTCTTGTTTAAAATGAGGGAAGAGATTTTAAAACATGGGATAGCACCTTCATTCCAGTGCCGTGCTTCCTAAGAGCTGGCCGGATGACCTGCAGCCTGAGATGGGCTGGAGCCCCTCTACTCAAAACCAGGGCCTGAGAACTCTGTGGTGACTGGGTCTTTGTTATTTCCAGCAGAGCATCTGACAACATCGACCTATCAGCCCACCATGTTTTCACCTGCTGAAGAGAAAGCACACAAGCATTTGCCCAAAACCTGGATATGGGATTTGTATTCTGTGGGGTGAGTAAACGGAGCAGTGGGGGTCTAGTCTGGGTGGCTTAGTGGGACTGGGAATGACAGCAGATACAACTGGGTTTAGATCATAAGCTGCTGAGGAAGATATCTACGGATGTATGTCATGGGGCTCATACCTGCCAGGCCTCTTCTCCTTGGAGCTGATGTCTGCATTGAATGCATTTTCTGGTACTAGATGATCAAGGCTGGACAGGCTTGAAAAGTGGGCCTACAAGTACCTAATGAGGTTCAAGAAGGCCAAGTGCAAGGCTGGGCACTTGGGTCGCGGCAATCCCAGGGATGTGTACAGACTGGGAGGAGAACTCATGGAGAGTCCTGAGCAGGGCTTGGGGGTACAGGTGGATGAGAAGCTTGATGTGAGCCAGCACTGAGTGGTGCATCCTGGGAGGCCACTGTGTCCTGGGCTGCATCAAGAGAGGGGT